GAGTTCATGAACTCAGACCAGTAATATTTGGGGTCACAAGTTTTTGCCATGGATAGTTTGTGGGTCAGAAGATAAAAAGTTTGGGAACCTCTGTTTTAGACTATCATCTTATGATGAAAAATTATGGACTTATAGCCATTTTAGTCGAACCTTGTAAATGATGTTATCCACAATCACACGTGAGATCTTGAGGGATCTGTCAGCATTTGGMGTATGTGCTGAGGACGACTCTCRGTCASTCTCACACAAAATCTGAGCTCAKTTTCTGTAAATTTGAAAGAGTTGTAGCTCTTTTTTGTGTTACCTAAGTTTGACTCTCTGTGGCGGTCATCTTACATCAGGTTGATTCCAAAAGTTAATCAGTTGTAGATGTAGAGTCAATGGTTAATTTTTAAAAGTTTCCTTWGTATAAGTTCCATGGTTCATTTTGTTAACAGACAAACACAGTCACAAACTAAACCATTACTGTCTTTTTGTCTTCAGTGCTAAGCTAAGTGATGATAATTTCACCGCTTCAGTTCAGTTGTTTTTGCCCGTGAATGTAAAGAATGTTTTTTTAAGTATAGCAGACAGACAGAATGCACTAAAATAATCTGTCCTGCATATTTATCATTGTGCCTCATTTTCAACACTCTTTAAGCACAAGTCTTGAAAAAAATGTTTTCACTGTATTTTTGTCATTTTCAAAACTTGTTACCAACTCACTGAATCTCAAAAAAAATGTAATGAGTGAATTTTCAGGGTAATTCACATTCTTATATTAATTTTTCTTGTTTTTAACTGTATTTTTTTTCTTACTTGTGCACTCATCGCAAAGTGAACGACTGAACCAAAAGAACCAAACTAAAAATAATCATAAAGTCAGTGAGTTCACACCATTTTCTTCCTCGTATCTAAATTTCCACGTAGATTCAGATTCATCCGTGAGCTTTGTTTACACCGAGTGCATACCTGTATTTGTAAAATCGCATATCGATACATCTGAAAAACTTATGGAGTAAACTCTTTCAAACTGCACCGTTTGATATGGTTCAATGTAACTGTTTTTATGTCTGATATAGTTTCCAGTTAATCTTGTTTACAGGCATGAAATAAAAATAGAAATAACCGCATCCTGTGTGATATGAACCTGTTCGTTCTCATGACTTCATTTAGAAGATGTGACATCTAAATGATTGTGACACACCTCCTAACCTCACGCAGCTCTCATAATGAGCGCCCTAATTTTAGCTCCCAGATGGCTTYAGGCTGACTGTAGGAGTGTGAGAACGAACGGTCACCTGCTTTTAATGCTGTCATCGGGTGCATTTTAAGGTCTAAACTGGTCAGGCCTGCACTGAACAGGCTTTAAGTTGTGACAGAATCTTGTTTTATAAGCTCAATCTTCAGAGTAGAAACTGGTGAGAAAAGTGTGTTTAAGAAAACTGTTTCAAACTATGTTTTTTTTCTGTTCAGTGCTCAGATTTGAGGTAATTCAGAGATTAATGAAAATACACRGATAAAAAAAAGATTCTATAACAGCAGATAGTACCTGAATATTAACTTGCTGCAGTGCCGATCCAAAAAGAAAGCTCTTTTAGTGAAGAAATGGCGATTATTTTWATTTTAAGTGCCCGTATGTCTGATTATACTGTGTGTACGTTAACCAGCACTCTGACAATCGACAAACAGGAAGACAGAACATTGATGTGACAAGAAGTGACAGCAGATAAACCTCATGATTTTGTGTTTTTTTTTCTTTCTTTCAAATGATAAACTAATTCTTGATTTATGCTTTTATCAAATTTTATTCCAGTAACACATTGTTCCTTCTTTTTCCTCCAGAAGGGAGGGAGGTTCAAACTTGCACTGAAATGTGTCCTTTTATTATCTGCACCATGGTAATCAGCTGCTCCCTGTGATAATAATGGGTCAAAGTTCATTGATTTGCGGCTTTCTTCGTTCCTTATTCGTTTGAAGTCTGAAGGAGAGAACCAAACACATTTGATGGTCGTTTTCTTCTCTTTTTTAATTTTTTTGAACAATTGATATGACTTTCAAATTTCAATTTCAAAAATGGATTTTTATGGATTCGTTTCTTTTTAAATCAACCTTTTATATGTGCACTGAGTGACCTTATTTTATTCCTGTTCTTTTGTCTTTATCACCCACTATGTGGTTGCATAAAAGGCAACAAGTGTCCACAAGATATGATGTTTAAATAGAATAAAATAAAAAAGATAAAAGGTTTAATTGTATTTTAGTTTCATCTCTTGAGTATTACGTCTATTTTTAGGTCACAAACTCTTAATATAAAGTATTATTTGCTGTTAAATATTTGCTGGTTCTGATATCAAATGACAATCTTCTCTGTGCCTCACCAACCTGTTTGGTTAAGCTTTCTTTTGCTTGTGCTCTGTTACATAATTTCAAGTGTGTTTAATACTATTGTTCTCCTTTCAGCTTCTTTTTTTTAAAGAGACTATATTTGCATGCGGAATTTGCTGGTGTTTAATTAAATCGTTTTGTTCTTCCACCAGCAAAGCGTTCAACTGGCTGCAGCCCAAGTTCAAATCAATCCACTCTTCGTTCCCCAGCTGCCTAACAGTTGGTGAGGTGTTGTTCTCATACAATCTTCATGTATTTTTTTTTCTTTTTGAAAACATATATTTATGTTCAGTTTTTTATCTAATTGAAGTTAAATTTTGATTCTTAGCGCTACATCAGTGTGCTGCCAGTCTGATCAATGCTCTAGGACATATTTTTATGCAATCAAATGGGTTTTGAAATGGCTTTTAATGGGTTCAATTGTATAAGCAGTTTTCTCAGAACGTCTTTTTGGATTTTCGGAACCAATCTTAGCTCCCATGATTCTCGTTGTCTTCAATTTACCGTCTAAATGCTTAAACTTCACACACTTCAGCGTCTTCTTTCAGATTTTATCTTGTTTGATGCTCAGCTCATGGCTATGTAATATCATTTGGTCTTTATTAATCACAACTGACAGTGAGCTATTGTCTGAGCAAGTTACGTTAGTTCATGTTGGAATGTTAGAGCTCAAGTCTGCTCACAAAAAATGAATACAAATATCTCATTTAATTGTCTAAAAATGGAAAAGAGAAGCTCATTTTAAGTGGATGTGTTTGTCTACTACTCGTTTCTCAAATCACAGTCATCCTCAGTATTTGCATTCTAAAATAAATATATGTATATATATAATTACAAGTATGTATTGCAAGGATATTCTGCTTCTAAGTTTATCATAAGTCAAAAACCTAATATCTCTGAATTAAATGGTGAGAAAGAAGAAAATGGGAATGTGAATATTAAAATTAATTGCTAAGTCAAGGTTCACATGTAAAAATGCCATTATCAGCGCTAAACCTTGAACAAGAGTGTATTTTCAAGTTATATGGTTGCATATTTGTATTAAAACTTGTGGTATTTGTCTGTATTTCAAATTTCTTGGGCATAACTTGAGTCAATTTGAATTTAAACCCAACTAAAACTGTCAGCATCAGTTCCTTGGCTCGCTTCCTGTTCATCAGGCTGCAGTGTACAGAGTCGACCACTAGGGGCCGCTGATGCTCCATAAAACATGAATCTGTCTGATTCGCTTGACTAATGATGGACACAAAAGCTTTTAGAAAACCGCACAACCATTTGAAAAGTTTATTTCTACCATACACAAACTGTACAACACAGCGCATATCTGTTTATTATGAAATAGTAAAAGTAATAGGAAGTTTTAATTTACAAACTACTTCAACTGAAATAAAAAGCCTTGCATTTTAATGTAAAAGAAAACAAAAATGAAAGAAAGAAAAAAAAATACAGTACAATTTCATATCATACTAATATCGTTCCACAAATAAAAGCATTTCACATTACAAAACATCAAATACTAACAGGGAAATAAAAAATAAATATTATTCACAAAACTTCCTGAGCAAACAATGTGTGGTGTAGGAATTAAACGTAAATTATAAATCAAGAATTGCTAGTTTTAAAGAGTGTGATTTGTTTTGTTTTGTTTTCAAAAAAGATTAAAACTTCTTTAAAACGTGTTGAGTATTTGAACAAAATAAGGTCTCATTTGTCTGTAATTTGGCTCTTTATTTTTCGTTCCACTGTTCATTTATTTTAGAAATAAATAATATATTGCTTTGATGACTTATTCATTTTTAACGTCTGGACTTAATTTGTTTAAAATGTATTGCAGCATAAAATCACTACAAAGACCTTTTTTTCCGTCACATGAAAAACACTTTTTTTTCTTTACAAAAAGTGCAATTAATTAAAACAAACAAGCAATTCATACAACCAGGTTCTTTGAGCAAAACTAAAAATTCTGGTTGTCGTGACCTCAAGAATATTTAAACTTAAAGATTTGTGGATTTGCTAAGGCTTGTCWTTGTTAAAACCGGTGTTGGGGGTTTTTTGTCTATTTTTTTTTCTTTATGTTAGTAAAAATAATGATAATTAAATAAAAAAAACACCAGATTTTAATGTCAATCATATTTTAAAACCTGATCAGGGATTACAGCTACTGAAACCACAGTWTTCAAACAGTCGTCAGGAACGAGTCCTCCTATGAAAATAATTGTACTGTATAATAAATCAGACACCATCCACGTAATACTGTCCTACCACAAAACAAATAGTACTTGTATATTTTTATGGATTCATATACATTTAGGCACATACTATATGCACACTCCAAAGTGTGTGCACAGAAGGCAGTTTAATATCTATATGTTTTTTTTTTCTTTTTAAAGAAAGACATCTTGACAAAGTGAATTTTTGAGTTTCGTTGCACTGTCCTTGTGACATTCGGACCACCACAAGGTWTCATTCTTGCCACCTTCTGGTTCCATTCAGCTGTTGTTATTGGTGCAGTAGAAAAAAAGGTACAGTACGGTCGCATTGCATTATCACTTTCTCTCACTTTGCCTTGCAATACATTCAGTTTCCAATAAAGTAAGCAAAAGCAATGCTTAACAAATGTCAACGTTTTGGTAGTTTTTTCCCCCCTCTTTGTAGGGCGCTCCGACTCGTGATATATTTGTGTAGGCTTGTCAACAGTAGATGGCGAAAGTATGCCACAAAACTGGAATGTGCTTCTGTTTAATTTACAATGTGCAGAAAGTCAAACGGATTTCTCCAATATTAAGCATTYACAATTCAAGAAATAAATAAAACTCGAGGAAATAAATACACTGATGAACAAATATAATAAGAATAAATAGCAATAATATAAGAGTGACGCGAAAACACATACAGCATAAAAATCAGGCAAACCATACAAAATAAGTGCAAGAAGAGAGGGGGGTAAAACAAACAAACAAACAAAAAAATAAACCTCACCAGGAATAAACATATCGAGTGAATGCAGGAACGGTAAAAGCATTACAAACCTGGCTGGTAATTTTCTCAGTGCAGTGTGTGTGTGTGTTTACCGGGAAATGCCGAACACATTTCCAAATGCCTCGTCTTATACACGCAGCCGAGCCAGCACTCTTCAGTGAAATAGAGCTATCTAGTGCCATTATCCCAAGTCAAAGAAACCTCTTGGTAGCTCTACAGCTTAAACATGGATGCCCTTAATAGCCTGTTTGATATTATCCAAGAGGGCCTTGCACTCTGGGGAGTATTCGTGCTCCGAGTTGTTGTACATATCAGTTAATGTGTTCACATAGGCTTCAAAATTATGCTCACTGATGGGTCCCTGCAACAACAACAACAACAAAAGATGTTAGTATGAAGAGAACAGGAGAAAAGAGAACTTAAGGGGAATGAGATTTCTTTCAGGACAGGTTGTGTTTTTCGGTGTGTGGTCAAGGCTTACTGTACCATTTGAGGCAGTTGGATGTCTGTTAGGCTGTTAATGAGAGCTTGGCTGAGGCGAGCGAGCTCCTTCAGAAGGCTGTCGTTGTGCTGTTCGATCATCTTGTTTTCTTCCTCAATTGTCTTCAGGTTACATTCCATTGACGAGATCTGCTTTCGGGTACAAAAACGGAAAGCAGATTATCGATTTAAGACGGCGAAAAATCCCGCACCCCCAGTTTTTTTTAAAGTATCTAAAACAAGCTTGTGGGAGTAAATACTTACCTGGGTTTGGAGTTGCATCATGTCTTCTTCTATTTTCATGTTGGAGTCATTCAGTTCCCTGATTTCATGATCTAGATGTTGAATATCGTCTTTGTTTTCAACGCCTTAAAAAAAAAACATTATTAATCACATTTAATAAGAAAATATTACACTTTTGTTTCAGTTCATTTAAAGGGAGAGTTTTGAGACACTTTTGAAGTGGCATTCAGTGAAAYGGTTATGAACAACTAATATTTATAGTAGTATAGACTAGCTTAAGCCTAGTCCATACAGGGCCAAGAGCAAAGTGGTTGCTCCTGCCTTAAAATAACAAACTCTGATTTATCTACAACAGGTAAGACTTTAATCGTTTGTAACCTCTCCACAAAACCCCACCTCAAAGGATAAGAACTATCACTTTAACAAGTACAAAATCTTTGAGTTGAATGTGATGGTGTCTTACCACTGCTGGCTTTCAGTTTGATAGTCATCATCTCCTCCTCCGAGTGCTTTTTCTTGATGCTCTGTGCGTTCAGTGGGCAACCTGACAAACTAATTCAGCAGACCATAAAAGACAGTTTAAGTTAAATTAATAGACACAAGATGAACAGAACTGAAGTGCTGTATGCAACAAACTGACGAGCAAAGGAGAAAAGGTAAGCTCACCTTCGATGGGTGGCGAATACATTATTGGCGTGACCGAGGCCGTTGCAGCCAGGCAGGGGACAATGGGGTAGCTCTTGCTTAGTGGCCTTCCAGGCAAAGGGCAGCCCATTGATAGACGACTCCTTCTGTCTTTTGGCAGCAAGTGGACAACTGCYTGCGCTGCGGTGGGATGTGTATTTTCCCGATATATGGCCCTGTCCATCACATCCGATTACTGGACACCTACCAGTGAGACAGACATTGAAAAGCTGCACACATGACTGAAAAATTTATCTACCTTGGCAACAATTTTGTGCTGTGGTGGAGTAAAATCTGGCAACGACACACACACACACACACACACACACACACACACACACACACACAC